AAATTGAAGCGAAGGTCCCTGATCTTATCAAAGCAAAACTTCTCAATAAAACTGTCACTAAAGCAATATCTCTACATAGGAGAGTTTGATTTAATCAAATAAACATTTTTCTGACAAAAAAAAAAAGACTGCAGTCAGATGATACTCAGCCAGTTCCTACAATCTCTACAAATGATGCATAAGCAGGACTTTGTTCATAAGACTTGCAGCTCAACAGACCCAAAGCATGACCAGACTCTCACTTCATTTCTACCCACTTTACCAAACAGCTTCATCAGGCTGCGTATGAGGAATCCAGCCCAGAGATCTGCTCCACATCTAGTGCAGGCTGGCCACGGGGCACATTCAAACATGTCACCTACAGGTAACTGCTTTTCAGTTACACAGTAAGGACTAAACTTGGAATCTTCAGCACAAGTTCATAACGCACTAGAAATTAAAGACTTTGATTCTACTATGGCATTGGGATCAAAAGAAAAGAGCAAGGGTTTTGAATACATGGATAATGCCAAATTGAGCATACTTGGGACAAAATCACAAGACACTGTCCAGAGTGCTTCAGAGACATTCCCAGAACTTGTGCAGTCAACATGTACACAACATGTACAAAGCTTACAGACTTCATACCTAAAAACATGGAAATAAACTAAAGCAGAAACAGGAAGATCTGAGTACCTCCAGATGTGTGCAGTGCCTAAAACCAGAAATAAAAAATACTTCCCTTTCCAGTCTTGTTCTCTCTATATTTCTGTTCTTTCTATCTTCTTTCTGGATCCTTATCTTTCAGATCATGACTTTATATTTGATTTCACTGTTCATTACATCTTACTGTTCCTTTTCTCTCTGCTGCTTCAGTCTATTATTTCCCACTCTGTGTCCAACTGCACCTAGAGAAATATCACAAACTTTGCCATTTCCTCTTGCTTACTCAAAGCTCCATTATAGTTGCGGCCTTCGCACACTGCTGGATAAAAATGATGTTCTACTACTCAGCACAGAGCCAAGTGTTACAGACAGAGGGCAAAAGGCTCATTTTGCTGCTTCATATGGTAGATCTTGACATCAGTAGTCTATCTTCTTTCATAAGCAGAACTCCCACAGACTTTAAAAGGAGGTCTGTGCATGTAGGCAGAGAAGAACATTGGAGTCAAGATCCACCCATGCAGATCTGAAGATAATTTTCATTAGCTAGGAAGTCAAACACAGAGGCATAAAAAGTTTTGACACAAAGTCATCTTAACTTGGCTGGGAGTTTCTGATGTGAAGAGCAAGGAGTTCTATAGCCTAAAAAACTGTGAAGTGCTGAAAACCTGGTTACCAAGAGGGTAATTTCATTCTTTATGTAGCGTTTCACATTTGAATGCTAAGTAACCACTAGAGCTGGGGAAAAAAAGGAATAAAATAGAATTTCACATTCAAAGAAGGATCTTAGCTGCTACCACCAGGCACTTCCCAAATACAGTCTGAGATTCTCTGTCCTAAAGGCCTGAAACTTAAGCTGAGCACAGTGCCCTGCAAAAGCTGGGTGTTGACCATGACATTAAGGCCGTTTTGCCATCAGCAAGGGTGATATTGCTGCCCAACAGAGAAAACACACGTTATCACCAGGAATAAGAAACACCCCGGATAGAAGCCTCGTGTCCATACCCCATCCTTCATGCTGTGGAACACTCGTTCCAGCAGGGGACTCCACTTGACCAATACAACACAGCAGCGAGTCACTAATACATAATTAACATGCGACAGTGATTAATTAGGTAACATCTGACCAATAGCCGGGACACTCAGCTGCCCTTGCATGTCTTGCCACACAAAAACATCCACAGCTTGCACAGACAGCTATTCATTCCGAACGTACCCCATTTCCCCCAGCAAGCACAGAGCGCAGGCCAAAGGGGGGATTCCAATCTGTTGCACAGCACAGTATGTAGCTACAGCATTTCCATACACTCCAGTGTGCACAGCATGCCTGAAATTAGACCCACATCCTCCCCTCGAAAACAGCATGCTGCAAACATTCGAGTGTTACAAAGTACACCCAAATACACAGCCATCTCCATCTTCTAAAGATTCCTATTGCTTCTGCTTTGCACCTCGCATATTTACTTTGCTTTAAAAAGCTTTATTTTAGGATGTTGTACATCTATCTGCTAGAAACATTGTCATGAGTTATGATTGACTGATACACAGCTGTTTAGGGACCAAAATTTTAATTCCATTGTTTAATCCCTCCTGTACATTAGCTTATTAACAGAGGCCTGTTTATTGACTCTGCTTTGTGCCAAGTGCTTACGACGGCTACTCTGGGGTTCCCAGTGGAATCCCTCCATACATGTACCACAGGTAACAATTCCTGCTGATGCAGCATCATGCTGTTCTTCCAGCTGTTCTGGTGCCATCCTGAGAAATAGGGTCAGCACTGGCATCTCATTTATTTCCTGATGCTTGGCTTGCATCCTCTTCCCTCTAGAGAGAGTGCCGTTCACAAGAGCACTTCACTTTTATTGCTCCTGTTAAGCTCTTTTGTTCTTCAGTGGAGGCTGCTCAGCCTAGCAAAGCCCACAGATCAGGCTCTCCAGGAGAAGCAGCATTTTGGTTGGTTTGGAAAAAAAAAAATGTTCTTTTTTCCTTTCTTCCTTTGTCTCGACTGGTTTTGTATTTTGCTGGACCGATTCCATAACAAAACTAAGTCACATCACACTTACAAGAGCAAAGCTTTTTTTACTGCTATGCCTCACTGGTCCTCAAAAACGTTATGCCTCAGCTCAGCGGCGGGCAGAAGGAAACGGCTGGCTGGCTGGGTGGACGGCAGTCCTGCTCAGTGACTTGTGCATTACTCAAGAATGTCCTTGCCCTGAGCACACGGATACCAGGCTTGATTCACTGGCTGTCAGAGACAATTCTGTCTCATGTCTCCCCAAAAGATTACTGGATTTTGATTAAGAAAGGTCAAGGGCAGCTTTTTCCTTCCCATATAAAGGGAATGACTTGAGGAAAAAACACATCACCTAGCACCAGGACTTTTATCTCCACTTGAAAATTTAAATTGCCTGAAGTGATGGGAGGCTTAGGGCAGGTTATGTACAAGAATCTTCATGCAAATAAATTCCTAAATAATTTATCTATATGCTATAATTTTAAGCACCCAAAAGAGGGTTGGTGGTTTCTTTACAGGTGTTTTAGCAGAACAAAACACAGAGCTCAGGTAGCCAAGTCTAAGGTAATTCCCATTTGCCAGATCAATTTTAAACATACATTGTATTACTGACCTAGCATACCAGAGATTTAGATTAATCCTTAACGCTTCAGTACATTCCCCCAAAATAACTTTCCCAATATTTGATTTTGCTTTGAAGGAAAGTGTGTCAGACATATAATTAGCTCTAGCTGCAGACTCCAAATCTCTGCCTGGCACCATGCTCAATAAAACACACCCTCAACCAGTGTGAAACTGGTATAGTTACACTGATTCTGCTATATTCTGCAGTATTTCACACCCATCAAGAATCTAAGTATACATGCATAAGTGAAGGAAAAATAATGTTTTCATCAGGAATAATAATGCTACAGAACACACAGCATCTTGGGCTGAGTAAAACAAATGACAAGTTCCTAAGAAATATATTCTTCTAATTGAGTTTAAGGTACTAAATAATCGCTGTCTTCTAACACAGAATCAGATTCATGGTGGGTTCTCTACATTAATTAGGAATAAGACTGTCACATGGATTTTAATGAAAAAAAGTTATGTCTGTGGCTTCTCTAGGATATTAAAGTCAATTTATCTGAGGAAGACAAGTAATGAATGGCTAGCTTTTTCTTTCTGTAGGAATTGGAGCTGTTCATTGAGGAAGGTAGCAGGAGTTAGCACTGTCTGAACAAGCTCTTATCTGTTAGGGTACGAATTCTGAGCGCCTCGATTACCAAGATGGAATTGCAGAAATCCAGCAGGCTGATAAAACAACACAAAATTACTGCCATCACACTAGAGCACAGTGTACCCCGCAGCTTGGAGCATAACGTAGACAGCACTTACTCAGCAAAATTTTTCTCAGATACAAGCTTCCCAACATATTTACCTTAATGTATTTGGCCATATGAAAATTTACTTACCAGCATAGCTTGGGACAACTAATGCACCACATTCTGTGTTGCTACATGTCACACTAAAAATCTTAAAACTAAACGGGAGGCTTTTAGCTATCTTAGTCCAAAACCAAGACTGCCAAGCCCCACTTAGCACCTCAGAACACAAATATCAAAGTTTCTGTCACTGGACATGAGAACCCTCAAGTGCACTGAGCAGTTCAGCAACTACAGTAACCAGCAAGTCACAACAGCTAAAGGTTTCCATCTCTTTGCACCTGTGAGGCCTCACTGGACCAATCCTTATGAAAAACCACAGAAGAGAGTACTGGTGTCACCTGAACCCTCAGTCTTATTTAGCATTGCAGTGATGAAAGCATACACATTAATTAAAAATTCAGATCCACTCCTGTATAAGCATGAATCTCCAAAGCTCTTATTTAAAATAATTACATTTTGAATGAAACACCTGATGTTTCTCTTTTTTTAGCTCTAGTCAGACGTAAGGCTGATGACAGCAGGCACCTCAATCCTTCACCACTATCAAATGTCTCCTTGACCACTCCAGCCCCAAGTCTCAGTAAAGCAGACAGGACCTGTTTACTGACACACATTCTCTGCACAGATTTTCAGACACCTCACTTTTACCATTTTCCCAAATATCTCTTTTTCCAACTTTAACACCACCAGTTTCAGGACAGGTTATGATTTTCAATACTTCAGTCACTCAGAAGACTAAAGAGTTTTTTCACAGCATGGGCCTGCATACCCTGTGCGGCCTTTTCGGAAGTGTTGTGAGAAGTGTTGTTTGAAAACACAACTGCAGAAGTGTAATGAGGCTGCAACTTCTTTAGTGTAATACTACACACTCCTTCAGTGTAACAAGGCTGCAAAAAGACAAAGGCAATAGCTAGTGTTTTGATACAAACAGGATTTAATTCAATCCAAGTGTTTTCTGTACAACAGAAAGCTTTTATACAAAAAAAGGAATGGTTACTTTAGTCGCAAGAACACGCACAGAGAAGTTTCTGAACCCTAGTGCTTCAGCAAGCCAAGGATTTTTTTGAAAAAAACACCATGTGAGGTATTGTTATAGATGTTATAATCCTGGTTTGGATCTGTCTCCACCATGTACAACTCTCCCGCGTGGACATCCTCAAAGTCAGCACTGAAGTTGCTGGGGTTAAACCCAACCCATACAGTATACCTGCAGGCAACTGTACGCATGGAATAGCCCATGATTCTGATGTCTTTCAGCTTTGGCTTGTCAGAGTTCCACTGAGGAGTGTCTGCAGGCCGAGGGTATTGGCTCAAAGCAACAGGTTCCTCATTAAAACACCTGTAAGTGTCATCACACCCACCCTCCTCTTCCTCCACCTTCTCTTTGGAGGCATTAATGTATCGGACAATGCTCGCCCCCTCAGTGCACAGTGCAACATGAAACGAAGTCTCTGGGCACACCGGAGGAACTTGCAGGCCAGCAAGTTCAGCAAGTGTTGGAAACAGAGACACAAGCTCTACCACCTCTTTTCTTCGCCCTAGAGGAAACATCAGAATGTAAGTTATGTAACATGATGCTTTGACAGACACTGCTAGAACATTTTTGAAACTTATTCTGATAATTAAGTTGGTGCTTTATTGAAAGTGCTTTGTACTGATTTGTGGGGTAACAAAATTAAGGCAATTAAGGTGCAACAGCTCTGAAGACACTAGTCTACGCATTTTTAACAAGAAAATTTTTGTCCTTATGTTTCTCAAATGTGCATCCTTCAAGGCAGTAATATTCATTACTTTGAAAAACAACTCTCTAGAAAGACAAAACAAATTCCAGTGTCAACATTTTAACACAAGAGTGCCTCCATCAAGAGTTTCCAATTTTAAGTACAGATGCTACACAGAGAATGTTTACTGATCACTGTTGGAGAGACAACAGCCACCACTATAAGACATAGGCCAAGGTTCCTTTTAGGCAACTACACCACACAAAAATAAATCACCTGCTGTGTTAACAGACACATCTAGCTGTTTCCACTAAGGAGATCTAACCAAAGCAAAAGTTTGTGTCCAAGGATTCCCTTCATCTTATTCCTCATCAGTACAATCAGCACAGTCAATGACACCGACTCAAGCTGTCTGTAGGCAAAGTGTCATTACATCACCACTTCTCCTTTACATATATCCACTGCAAACAAAAAATAAATGCTGGAAATTTACCTTGAGGTACCAAACCCAAAATATGGCTAAAAGGGTCAAGGTAGGGGAAGACCCTCCCTCCTTGATTAACAGAGGAAGTAGTCATTCCTGGGACATAAAACATCAGTGGCACACGGGTAGCAACATCAAAATTGCTGTATTTTGCCCATTCACCATGTTCTCCCAGCGACCATCCTAGATGACAAGAACACAATTCAGAGCATATACTGTGTCATAATTAGTAGTAATTTCTTCTTCACTATAAACTGACTCTGGCTGTTGAGGCCACTAGTCTGTTATCAAGGATATATTAAAAGGCAAATAACAAGCTGTATTTAAATATAATACAATTTTTCTCTATTGTGAAAGCTATTTCAACAGCCACCTAAATCTTGCAAGTTGATACTCTTTTATTGAGGAAATTATGCCTTTTCTTATTTCCCCTACTCTAGATTAGAATTAGGAAATCAACTTTAAAAGAGCAGAAAAGAGGAACTGGGGTGTGTCACAGTGCCTGCAAGAGTCTCCAGATCAATTCCACAAAGCACTCATTTAAGTTCTGGGCAGCTGCCAGCTCTCCAATACTCCTGTTAACACTGTAACTGAACATCCCTTGGAGCCAAGGCTGCTATCTATGCCAGAGTGCCATATCAGGATGTTACCCCTGAGGAAGCAATAGAGATCAAAACTCTTTAGCTCTCCTCTTCCTCTTGGAAGAGATGCCAACACGACTTCCTTCCAGGCAGATTTATTGCCAACTTCACTTTGGGGGAAGACAAAGGAGCTCTATGACAGCTATGTTAACACATGATTTTTTTGGATCACTTTGCTAGCCACAGTACTGGAAACACCAACTGTTTATAGTTAACCACAGCAAGGAGGAAAAGAGGAATTCAGTTTAAAATGGAAAGTCCCAGTCAAATTCACAAGTCAGAAGGAACATTTAGAATCACTTTAGCACCAGAAGTATTAATCCCATTACTCTACAACTCATAAAGGGTTGTTTATACACACACACCTACAGAAGTCAATGCAAATTAACTAAGCGTGTGACTTAAAATTGATCTAGTTAAACCACATTCTAACCATTTTAAGTCAGCTAAGCCATCCCCCAATTAAAGGAATCATGGGGGAGTTATTTTAATGAATATTAGGGTATTGAAACAAACAACTGTTTGAGGTATTTGTCCCACAATTCAAATTCAGTTTCTTACCACCAGGATCCAGAGTGCACAAGACCTCAGTTATGAGGGGGGAGCCATATTGCTATCAGTTTTAGATTCTCTTCAAGCAGCAATGACAAGTGCAAGAAAACACACTTCAGCAGTTAATGAGAAAGCCTGTCACCCACTGTACCAGATGGCTCTCTACAAACTGTATGGGGGGAAGAGCAGTTGCTATCTGTTCACAGCACTGTTCCCAGCAAGAGTCACTTGATGGGTAGGAGGTGGGAATATGGCAAGCTCAGCCCAATGTCCTGGTCTCATCACTCACTAGCAAACCCTCAACCTGATTCAAGAAAGGTGCTCACAGGGGGACAGAACCGTGCAGCCACAGAAGCCTGTGTCAGTCCATTAACTAGAGACAGACTAACCTGACATGTAAGGTATGGTAGCTCTGCTGTATATTATATAAACACATACTTCATTAATATGCTAGCACCAAGTTGCACAATTATTAGCAGTGATCTGGGAAAAGATTTAAAGACTTACCATGATCAGCAGTAAAAACTACTATCGTGTTGTTTGAGAGTCCTACGTCATCCAAAGCATTCAAGAGCAGGCCAACTTGTGTATCCACGTAAGAAACTGCTGCATAATAGCTCTGACGAATCTGCCGCTGCGAGTTAAGAGGGGAGAGAAAAAAGCTAGCTTTTCCACAGACACACACACACACAGGAGAACCAGTGGGTGGCTAAGTAAAGGAACTAAAGGACATTACTTGTAAAGCTTGCTTTATTTTTTAAGTGCCTGTACCCTGATTAATGTGCCAGAAAAGGTAAACAGAGAGAGAGCAGTTAAAAACTACTTCTCTCCCAGAAGTTCTTTCAAGCAAGATGTTGCAAACCAATCAGTTCTGCTTCTCTCACAGTCCAGCCAGTGCACCTGATTTTGGCATAAGCACTGGAAAGTCAAGGAAAATCTTGCAAGAGAAGATACACTAAGTGGTGGCTTGAAGCAGATAAACAGATTCAGATAATGAAAACAAACACAAAATTGGTAGCTGCTACATATGTCCCCTTATACACAAACGAGGAGCACATGTTATTCTCACTAGTTGGTGGCTGATCTCTTCCTCCCCACCCTCACTGGCTGACTGCAGTTACAGTGAAGGTTTGCCTACAAAGCTAGAGGTGAGAGTGTGCAAGGCAGAGGATGCAGAGTATTTGCAAACTGTCAGTTGCTGAATACTTGGGAACATCTAAGAGCACTGGACAAGTTAAGGCAGTTTGACTGCAGTCCACCGCATTGACAGCTTACCTGGAAGTCATCTGGAAGTGGTCCATAAGGGAAACTAACATTTAATGCTTCCACATCATCCCTCTGTCTGATATCCGTCCAGGGGTTGTACGCCACAGAAGGCAGTTTCTCAGGCACCCAGGGATCTGGGGCTAATGTGATGTTTTCCAAGGGGTACAACTTGAGAAATTCCTTTACAATACAAACACACATCAAGACTGCCCTCACCTCTGACATTTATTGTAAACTTTGTGTTGTAAAGCAGCAACCATTTCCCCTTGCATGACCCTTTAATATTCTTACCATTTACAAGGCTTCACTCCCCCTCCCCCAGAGTGTAAAATCTAGCAATACTACGCCTGTCAGCCCCAAACAATGCCTTAAAAATACCGAGTTAGCAAGTACCTAAAACCAGCCTCCTGTATCTCAAAGCAACACTGAAATAAAAGGTCCAACACCACTTCCTCTGAAATGAATAGGAGTTTTGCCACCAACTCAAACAGGGAATGGAGTACGAGATCCTGTAAGGCCTCATTATGTCGTACTCCATCAAGCTGAACACCATCTCCATGCGACAGCAGCCACTGCTATGGTGGTAGGAGACTGGCTTTTGGCTGAGTGGTCACAACTCATTCTCATTAAACATTCTGAAATGTAACACAGGCAACTGCTGAAGTTACATCAAACCAAGGCTGGTTTTCAGCTTGCTTTCCAGAAACAACAGCAATAAAGCATTTGTGGAAACAGCTTTGAAAAGCAAAAGCAACGCTTGTCTGAACTCCTTTCCCTGCAGGCTCCAGCTTCCTCACCTGTGGGTACCTCAGTGGGATATGTGGTTTGTGGTAACCGACAGCCAGGAAGAATTTTTGCTTGTTGGTTTTCACAGCATTCAGTAAGCGTATGGCCTCTTCAGTGCTCTGAATGTCAGGCAGAGTACCACTGGGCATTTCTGTCACATCCACTGGGCACACCAAGTTAGCATAAAGTTTTCCATCTTTTCCCCTACAAGTCTTTAAAAAAAAAAAGCATTAGTTAAGTAACTTCTGTAAAAGCAAATAAGAAATCCTCTGTTCTGTAACTTTCAAACCAATTTGCTTCTCAATCGTTCTACCAAAAGACTGCAGATCAGATATGAAAAGGAATTTCAAAATTTCTATAAACACTAAAGGTACCAAGTACACTGATGCCTGAGCAGACAGCTTCAGGAGTTGAAGAACTGCAACTTCCATGTCTATGGAAAAGCAGAATCCTCTCTAAAGCTGGGCAGAAGATTAAACAGTCATACGGGAAAACAAACAACTTCTATGAATAGAATCTCTGACCTATTGGCAAGAAAGCAGAATTTGGTTATGCTATACACACATGTTTTTACTCCTGATCCCCAGAGCTCAGAGAACTGCCTGAAAGCTACTGACTTAATTTCTGAACACATGCCAGAAGTGGCTGATGTATAATCAGTGAAGAAAAATAAATTAGAACAGTTGCCAGGAAAAGGTGGCCTAATCAGGGTGTTTGAGAGACTTGCTAAATGAACATAAAGAAAAGTATGTCATAGATGCAAACGCTGGTGTTGTTAAAACCAGTTTTCTCAGCAGTAAATGCAAGAACAAAGCATGGCCAAGGCTATCAGCAGCCTCATGGCTGGAGCTCCTAGCTTGGCAGCGTACAGACTCCAGCACATTATGCTATCGCAATGTTTGCATAAACATAAAATATTCTTTTGGGCCACACTGAAGAGTAACAAACATTCTAGAAAACTGAATCAGATTATAAAGTTTCAGATTATTTTAATTATGACATCCAATTGCTCAGCCCTGAGCTTTTCATTGAATTAATTTCACCAAGCCAATGTTTTGCCACTTACAAAGCAGAGCAGGACTAGCACAGAAGTTGACAACCACGCTTCTCAGATAAAGGAATTTATGACCTAGACACAAATTAAGATCACTCTTTCTTGCAAGCACTTTTATATCTCAGTAACTTAAGCTTCCAAATACTAATTTAGAAATACTTAAAATACCTACAGGATGGGCACATGAATCAACAAGACACACAACTGAAGAGACAGGCCTTCTTTTGGAAGATTAAGAAAGAGATTTCAGTCTCAAAAAAAAAAAAAAAAAAAAGAGTATAGCCTGTGCTTGACAAATAATTTGGTTGTATCCTGAAAACCCTTCTTTGTTAGGGAACCACAAATCATCCTTACCTTGTAATTTTCATATTTTTCAGCTGAAGGATGAAAGGGTGGAATGGACCAACTGTATGGATAGTCATCACTGTAATTGGATGAAACCCCTGAAAGACATTAGAAATGCTCCAATAGTTCACTGAACCAGGAAGAGCACAAACAAGTTTAACTAGTTTGCAGTTGTGGGTTGTTTGGGTTTTTTTAAATATACTAAATGAAGAAACATTTCAAATTATCTTTGACAACTGAGAAAAAGAAAACCAAGAAATAAAAGTCAAAAAGTTTAATAAAAGTCAAAAAGTTTAAGACAGACTTTTTTCCCTGAAATACACCTTTTACTGGTGAAGGAGATTCAAATCTCTTGAAGAACATTAATTCAGGGAACAGCAGCAAGAAAACCACCAAACCCCCAGGATTAATAACAGTCTTCACGTACATTCTTAATTAGCTTTACTATCAACTGAAAGTTCATATATCCACACAAGTTTAGTCCTGGGGTAAAGAACTACCAAAAAGAGGGTCAGTATTACAGCATTTTTCAACTCAGCAGTGTTATTGCTTTTTAACTAGTGAACTACTTTCCTATTTAATTGGTATTATTAATCATACATTCTATATCTCCTGATCCAGACAGCCTATTATGGAAGCATGAACGTGTATTTGCAGAACTAAGACAATGAGGCTGTTTAGTAATTTCATCTTCAGCGGATACCTAACTTCCATACATATTTTTAGAATGTTAGACATTTAATCCCACAAGCCCTGGACAAGATGTGAAAACACTCGTTAGATAACAATAATCTAATATATAGCTCTCTAATACCTTAAGATTTAAAGACAACCTATAACCATTGTACAATTGGGCTCATGATTATAGTGTCAATATAGACAAGAATCACACAGTTGAGACTTATATGTGAAGTCTGTTTGTGAGAATATACACATTAAACATGTGTATGTTAAGCAGATGATAATTCAGACCATACCAGGATGAAAGACTTTCCCCACAGATAAGGTCATGTAGCCATTCTCCTTGAAATACTGGGGCATCGTGGAATAGTTTCCTGCATGTACTCTCCAGTAGGAGTAGAAATCATACAGTCGGGTAGTATCAGGTCTGCGTCCAGTAAGAAATGACACTCTACTGGGAGCACACACGGCTTGCTGAGGAGAGAGTCAGCCAAAAAAAGAACCAATTCAGGAAAAAAATCAAAACACAACACACATACAGAATGACTTAGGTGTGGCCAGGCAAAACATTCGAAGGCTCAGGAAGTGCAGTGAAAGTGTTTCGTATCACTTCAAACTGCAATGACCAGCCCCCTTATTAAGAAAATAAATTCCCAATTGTGAGCTTTTAGCAAGATATATATTTACCTACCTATAATTTTTCCTCAAATAACCAATTCCTAAGAACTAAAAACTTTGGTTATACAGCTAGTATCACAAAAAAAATAAAAAAATTAAAAAAAGAAGTCGTCAGGTTGCGTTAAAAGACAGGGCTTTTGAAATCTAGTAGCTCACACTCACACAGAGTTAAGTAGAAGTGGCATATGGACTGTGCTGACAAAAGCCCAAAGTCTAGTTGATCTGGACTGCCTTAAGAAAAATGAAAAGGATAAACATACGGAAGGTCCAGGTTACAGTGCAAAGGCCTCACCAATTCTGTTTCAGATTGTCAAGAGCCAAGTATTATTAAAGTCCTAATCCCTAGGCAGAATTAGACTCAAACTTCTAATTTCTCAGCAGAGAGAAACAGGAATGTAGGTATCCTATGCAAAGTATTGGAGTAAAGAGCAATTAGTGAGATTTGGAGTCCTATACTTAATAGTAATACTTACAACACAGCCTGCCCCTTTATAAAAGTCTATAGAGTTCCTCAAAAGAAAAAAAAGTAAAAAATCTTTTCTAAACAGTAGGAAAAAAGAATTCTAATTTAGTAAAACAGCATTTTTAAACAGCACTTTGCTGCTAGCAGTGACAATGTTTGAGTGACATCATACTCCTCCAAGGACTACACAAATATCATGATTCAAATGCCCTGTTTTTGTTTTTCTCACTTTAATAAAGATAGGTTCATACAGTTCATCCCAACCATTTATTTTCTACTGGAAATACTTAAGGCTAATAAATACTTGCTTTTTCCAGCGGTCTACCTAACACCTACTGTGGTAAAACCGGTAATTATTTTGCCTAGAGAAAACACTTTTGATTTAACTTATTTATCTCACCTGTGCATATGCATTGCTGAACACAACACTGTGAGAAGCAAGTTGATCAATGTTTGGAGATTTCACAAGTTTATCTCCGTAACAGCTCAAAACAGGACGCAGATCATCCACAACTATAAGCAGGATATTCATATGATCTATGAAGAAACAGAATTGGGAATATATTCAGGTGGGTTCCAGTAAGCAGAGGTTTGTGCAGATTTGTCATTTTTTTAACCCTGAAGTAGACTTTTAAAAAAATCAGCAAGAACATCTAATACCTTTGTGAGGAAACGTAAATACTGGGATTAAGTCTTCCAACACACCAGAGTTCTTGTTCTGCCTAGACAGAACTACAGCGGCTTTCCCTTCCCTTCCTATCTCACCACTTCCTCCCATGGTATTTTCTCCAGCTGGCTACAGAAGGGTGTGTGAAATAAAGTGGTATTTTATAGCTCTACCTACTACTGAATTCTACAGCCCGCAAGCTCTGAGAGGGGCGTTAAGCTACAGGCAAAGCTTGGGAACTGCTATGCTATATGCTCCTGCTCCAAAGGGATAAAAAGAACACATTTAAAAAAATTAATTACGGATCTACTTTTTACAACGCCCTCTTCAGGTGCCCAGCTGTACTACGGCTCAAACAGCGCCCAGGCTGGGGCAGGCGCCCGCGGCAGGAGCCTCTCAAGCTGCAGCCGGGGCTTCCCCAGAGCCCTGGGGGAGACCAGACCCCAACGCCCGGGGCCCGCGGGCAGGGCCCGCCCGGCCGCTTCCCCACAGCGTCCCCTCCCCATAATATTA